TACGTAACTCGCGTTACTTGTAATGCGTTACCCCCAACACTGAATGCAAATGCAAGTCTAAAAAACAAGTCAGAAAACACAACGACAATTCAGACAGACCGGAAGAGGTAGGTATAGTTTGAGACAGCGCCATTGGTTTGGGATTGCTCACCGCTGACTGGACGAGACATCTGTCAATCAACGTATACAGAGAAGAACCAGCCAAAGAACAGCAGAGTCGTGGTAGAAAGTGTATTGCATGAATTGCCCTCACTGTGGAATAATAAATACAGGGTGTCTATTTACATTTAGTTAAAAGTGGTTGTCAAGCATCCGCTCCAGTGGCGCAGATGGATAAGTGCTTGTCATTGGCTTTTTGATAAAACAGGTGTCTCGTCCAGTCAGCGGTGAGTAATCCCAAACCAATGGCGCCATCTCAAACTATACCTACCTCTTCCGGTTTGTCATTGTGTTTTCTGACTTGTTATAATGTTTTCTGAATTGTTGTTTTTTAGACTTGCATTTACGTTTGTAATTTGTCATTTTGTTTCCAGAATTGTGATTTGTTCTGCACTTCTCGGTCACCGTACTATAGCCAACGAGAACAGCGTGAGAATCTGCAAGCGCCAGTGAAACTTAAAACGCACACAATATACTTTATTATTAGGTTGGTGCTATAATTTTGTAATTATATCGTTCATTTATAACTTATATTTTATCATTTATTATTTGGTGCCTAAATTGATATTTTGTTTGGTTTATACTTTAAATATAGACTAACATTTTTACAACTTTAAATGCATGTAGGTCTATTTTGTCAGGATTGTTTTAGTTTTTACTTTCCCCATAGATCTGGTCTGTAAACGAAACTTAGTCTAACTTATGCTGGTATTTTTGTCAGATTCCGCGACTTTTTAATCTACAGGAGTCTGTTGCCGGGGCCTCTGAAGATCGAAGGAGTCAGTCATCACTCCTCCACCCATGAAGCCCCTTCCAGACTTTCCCTCTGCTGTATAGGATTTGGAGTCGGAAGGGAAGCCCGCATCTTACACGAATGCTCCTTTTTGTGGCTAAATTAAATGTTTCCTTGCGAGTAAAGTCGGTCAGCTGTCAGTCAAACAAATGCACTTTTCGTCACCACAGCTTAAAGCTTCATCTTGCTTATTTTAATGAGGCTATATTTTATACTTTCTCTCCCCCTTTACAATGATGTCTTCATTAAAGTGTTTCACACATCGCATTAATGTAATGGGGTTCGCTGGATTCCTGCTTCGGCCATTAATCGGCCATTGAGCGGCGAGATAAAAGGGTGTCAAGTGGCCGATATTAACGCGACACTTAACCTGACACAAGCCTGTTGTTTCAGACCACTGCTCTCACTTGTATGCATGCAGTG